GTTGTTAGCTGTCTTGTGGGTGCTGGGATTCGAACCCGGGTCTTCTGCAAGAACAACCAGTGTTTTTAACCACTGAGCCATCTCTCTAGCCCTGATTTCTCTCTTTTTTTAAGCTTTTACAATTTTATTAGAATTCTAAAGAAAAGTCCTCAGGCAGGCAAGCTGATAATTTTGGCAACTGCCTTGAGGAAGAGAATTGTGGGAAGAAGGAAAGAAAGCCATGAAGCCACGCAGGTTTAGAGTCTGTATGTGGGTCTGACACATGGCTGACTGGTAGCCACATTGCTGGGAGAAGAAAAACAAAACAAAACAAAAAACAAGGTGCTAGGGGCAGCCCAAAGCCTTAAAGGAAGTATGTTTAGAAAAGGGTCATGGAGAAGAAAAGGAGAGACTCCACTTTTCCGAAAAATTCAGAAAAGCAGGCAGACTTCCAGACTACATGACTGTGGCTGGTCCAGAAATTCTGCCCAGATGTCTCCTTAATCTAGACTGCTGCAAGAGGAAGCTGAAAACTCTGTGGGCTTTTTGTAACTGGGTCAAGTCTATGAATGAAACTGTGACTTCCTGAACAGGGAATCTTGGTTCCCAACCCTAACTGCTGAGAAGCCCATGGCTTGATAGTGTGCATGCACCCATCAGAACGGAGCTTTTTAGACAGGTCTTCACACCCTGTTTCCACCGTAGCCCATCAACACCTGTTTTATACCAAAAGTAGTCTGCAGGATGTGGTAAGCTGTTTCTTTTGTGTCATTTTTGTGTGCAGAGGTTGGATGTGGTGAGGCAATAATTCGGGACTTGATTCCTCTTCATGTTGCAGTATTGTTTTTTTAATTCCTACTTTTCCCTCCGGCACCAGAGTATGACATAGCTTCTAGGATCTACAGCTCTGAGCTGGGCAGAGCCCGAGTGATTCTGATCACACATAACAACACTAGTAGGGATCTAAATTGAACTTCTGTTTTGTTTTCATCACTTCTTTTTTTTTAGTAGTTTAGTGGATACATCTTAGATCCTCCCCTTCAAATGCTACAATTAACATCACCTAAAAAAATATTGAAAAACTGAGTTTTTCTGCTGTGCTGGTGTTGAGAGAGAATTCATAAGATTTCTCTGAAGCGCAATTTAATAAATCTCTGTTAAAATGTAAGTGCCCAAGGCAAAGTCTGTTTCTAGAAATAGATCCAAGTTGGGCTGGGATTTTTTCCAAAAACAGTGACAACAGTACTTCTTCTAGACTTACATTCCCTTCCAGAATCTTCTACTCCCTATGAAGAGGTAAACTATGATTCAGTCCACTGAATCCATGGCTTTTGGTACTGCCCCTCTATAAGGGTGACTGGCTGACTTTTGAAGAATGTCCTGAGAGGCAACAGGCTTCTGCTGGGATTTGTGTTCAGGGCTACAGCTGAGGCATAGTTAGCACGCCATGAAGAAGCTGGGCCTCAAACAACCATCTCCTTTGAGCTTGCTCTGTTGCCAGCCAGCATTCCATGGGAGACCTGAGTGAGCATGGCAAGTCACAGACTTCATGTGTATCCAGGGATACAGCCCACTCAATCTCTCTAGTCTGTCACCAAAAGTACACATTTGGGGGCAAAATAAGTGTTACTATTTACTTAGCTTACTCATATTTGGGGCGTTTGCTATAGAACATAATTGGCCAGGACAGATACAGCATATTGTATAAAATAACCTACTGGAAACATTCCACTTGTAGGGCTGGGGCGTGGATTATAGTTTCTATACCATGGGATCTCTGTGACCATCAAGAGAATGAAAACATTTTCTTAATTATTTTCATTTAAATTGAACATATTCATTCTTCAAGGTACTGTGCTCTATGTGGGTATTTCCATATGGATCTATATAGTGCATTGAACATATTCCCCATACTTCCTCCCTCAAGCTCCTCCCCACCCCCAGTAGTAACTTTGATCCCCTAGAGAATATCTCTTCTGCTTTCATGTCAAATATGCTAGTACAGAGCATGTGTCTGCTCCTGAGTATTTTATTACAGCCACAGAAACAAAGACACCAGGTCAACATTATTCCTGGGTGTGTCTAGGAAGCTATGTCGTCCGAAGTGGTGGGTTCAGTGAGGCAGAGGGCCCTTCCCCAGGAAAGTGGGCATCATCCCACATGCCAAGGCCTGAGTAGAAAAGGAGGAACATGCCCCTTTTGCTTTGTGACAACCGGCCTGCAGTGGTCTGTGCATCTCATCATCTCTTGTCCTCGGACTCGAAATATACCATGAACTTTCCTGGGTCTTCAGATTGCCCAGAGTGGGACTGCTTAGCCTGCATCAAAGTATGAACCAATTACATATAATAAATGTGCATATGATTTGTTCTTTTTCCCAGGATACCTTGAATAGCATCCTTTTTCTACACACACACACACACGCACACACACACACCCTCACACACACACACGCACACAAATGTGCACACTGCTTCATGGTTCACATTAACCAAAAGGACAATAGGATGAATTCTCTGACAGTGAGCAGGAGCTGTGTCTTCCATCAGTGTGTTCCCAATCCACCACGGTGAAGAGGCCTTCTACATTCAAATGACGGAAACTTCGGATCATGGTTAAAGGCACTAAAAATGCAGGAGGGAGAAATTTCCCTGGGATATGTATGCGTGCTCCCCTAAGTAAGAGGAACTTTTTTTTTTTTTTATCGTGGGTCCTTTTCTTTTACAAATTTCTCTTTTTCAAAGAACCTTGTTTCTTTATTCCTACAGCTTTCCTGTTATATGGATGACACATGACGTTAAAATGACTATTCCATATTGTTTTCAAATACCAGACTACGTTGTGCTGACTGTTGACCCTTTTTCCTTCCTTCTTTATAAATTTTTGCATTAGTTTTAATTTTTTTCTGACTTATCCCTCATCAAATGAGAAATCTAAGTATTCATTTTAAGACTAGTCATCTAAGAATTAAGGTATAGAAATTTATTTTCTCAAGGTCTAGAGCGAGCCAGCACTTCTCTGAGGTACTAAAAGCGTTGTGAGCAGCGTGTGGCACACATGTTGCCTTTAGAACACAGTCTGCAGTTCTCCGTGGAATGTAGGAAACTCACACTGTCCTGCATGTGGAAGATGAAGGGAATAAGCACTAAAAGAATGAGAAAAGAGGAGGAACCCAGACTGTCCTCTAAGGAAAAGGCAAAGTTGAGGAGTGCGTGGTTTGCTTCCATTTGTCACATCAACCCTAACCACAACTAAACCAGCCCTAATGGTACCTAAATCCAAGCCCTTCTGCACTGACCTTTTCCTGGGCACTTGGGATTGGGTCACCCCTGTGAGCATGTGGATGTGAGAGTGTGAGAGTGTTTGCCTGTTTCTGCTTTCACCTCAGGAAACACAGGACCTGGAATTTCCTGGGTAGCACAGGTATCTATGGCCATATGCAGTTGATGACATACTAGAAAATAGATGCTAGAATCATGTGCAGGGAGCAGGTGGGTACACAGCAAAGACTCTGGGGAAAAAATGACTTGTCTGTGGTGACACACAGTTATGGAGGGGATAGGTCAAAACCAGCTCTGGTTCCTTAAAGCTGAAGGGTTGCTGAAGCCAGGCTTCCCAGGTGGTGGGAGTGGTGGCATGGGCATGATGATGGAACTGTGTCCCTTGTTCACATGGAAAGGTGGAAGGAGAGCAGTCAGCTCAGGCATCCTCAAGAACATCTTGTATGGAAGGAGGGTCAGGGTCAGAGGATCCCAGGAAGTGACCTCGCTTTTCTAGCAACGGTCCAAACAGAATTCAGAATCCTGGTTACCAGGTAACCACAGGCCAGTGGCAGTTTCAACATCTTCACTTGTCTGGAGACTCTGGATAGAGCAGGATGTTCTCTTGCTGTTTCTGGCCTTCTGGAGACTCAGGCCCCAGGAGAGACCAGAATAGGGGCCTTTGCCACCTTTGGAATCGCTGGGTGCGCCCTGTAGCCCAGTGCCTCTGGCCATTTTGCCATAGGAACACACAGGTGACACTGACCAGCCCATAACAAGAAATCTTTCTGACCTCCTGGGTCCACTGCAGTCCCTCCCTGGGTGTGTGTTTTAGAGTGAACACTGAGGAAGTTTCTCTATGACCACTTTTCGCCTCAGTGTATGGAAATGAGTCATTGAGGAGTCTGTTAGATTTACCATATTTAAACCTTCCCTCCTATACCATTCCTCCTGAACAGGCATCAGACTTCACTGTCCATGACCTCTGCAAGGTCAGGTCCGACATCCCAGGCTATTTGGAGAAGTTGGTGAGCTACCTGGCAACTGCTGTACAAACTGGGGACTTCCTGTTTGTCTGTACCTTCCTTGGCATCTTCCAAAGGTTCGGCACTACCTGGCAGGTGCTGGACCTGATAATGGAAAGGTGAGTGTCGGCGTCCAAGCCCAGGAGAACTCGAGCCTCCTGGTTGGGATTTAGGTGGCTCTGCTCTTCTCTGAGGTGGTTTGCTCTTGAATAGGCTGTTGTCAGGACCAAGGGAGAACTCACCCTCTCAGTGGTGGCCCTGGACCTGGTGCTTAAGTGACCTGACCAGGAAAGGGAATGGTGGACTCTAGGTTGTGACATTTGCCTCCTTTAGAAGTACTGTCAGGACCTGCCTTTTGTAGCCTTTTGCTCAGTTTTTCTCCCACTTGTAAAGAAGTTTCCAGAAACCACCAAAGATATAGGATATCAATATAGGGAGATAAGAACACCTAGGGACTCACCAAGATGCCCTGTGCCAACTGACCAACCACGGAGGAGCAGCAGCTTGGGTTCACTCATCACGTGAAGATTCCGATTCCTCTGCAGCTATAGGCTCATTTCCCAACCCTTAGCTTAGAATTCAGAGAGCAGCACAGACAAAACTCCTCCCTCCCCAGCCACGGCTTCTATTCCTGTCCCAGATTCAGCCAGCCCCTCTAGATCGCCTGGCAGGTGGGGGATATATGGACTTAGGGTGACAACCATCTCTAATGATACAGGTATGCGTCCTTCCAGCCAGACAGTGAGGAGGACCAGCAAACAAAAGAGTGAGTGGGCTTTGGTTGAAGAGGGGGATAAGTTCACATCAGCAGACTGGAATATTTGAGGGTGAGGGTTTGGGAAAGCCAAGTGCCATGCACTCTTGAGATTTCCACTAGAGGGATGATGCCTGGGACTCTGATGTAGGAGGAAAAAAAGCTCTTGAGTGGGTTCCTTAGGGGCATGGCAGATAGCAGCAGGGCCCTGTGAGATTCCATCTTGACCATAGCCCAGCCCAGCCAGGATGTATATTAGTGGCCTGGACAGGAAGTGTTGGGAACCCTTCTGCACATGGTCCCTATACTTCTAAACACCATATCCTACTATACATTGACTGGACAGCCTTTGCCTTGTCTGCATGGAAACACTGCAGCACTGGCAAAGAGCGGCCAGGCTTCTAACTCTCCTCTATGCCAACCTGCCACAGCGCCATATGCTTCTTCCTGGGACTGTGGATGGAAAAACTGCCAGGGGATTTTTGTCAATCTCCGGATCAGGCCACTCTGAACAAACTGAGGAACTATGTGCAAGTCAACATGCCTTCCTCAGCCCTGGCTGTCCAAATTCAAGAGCTCCTGCCACTTCTGGAAGTGCAGGAGTCCAAGAAGGCAACACCCAAAAAAGAGGAGGCTTCTGGTAGGTGCCTGAGAGGGTGGGAAGGAATTTTCAGTGTTGGGTTCTGAGAGAGCTACAAGAAGCTGACATTTTTTCTGAAACTAGAGCTGGACTCCAGTCAGGTTAGATGTCTTGTTATAGGGGCAGGGACTGGGGACTCTCTGGTAGGAAGAATGCTTGTGTGCATTTATAAAGTATCAGGAGAAGACCTTCATCTTGACGATGCTATACCATCCCAAATCTCCCTGCTTCTCACTTCTAAGGTGCCTCCACTGACAGTGCCTCTCTTTCTGTCCTTCGATTTGGAGCCCTACAGGACAGCAGCTTCTGAACTCCCAGCACAGTATTCACCAGTGATGCCAGAGACTGTAAATCCCAGTCCAGCTTCTGCAAGCAGAGCTTTGGGGGACCTGATACCTCAAAAGTATCCTATGATAATCACTCTTGTACCAGCAGCAGAGCCTCGGGGACAGCCGGCTCCTGGAGAGGATCCTGTGAAACCTGATTTCGTGGAACTACGTCTATGAGTAGCCCAGTCAACACCTATCCTGAGTGTTGCATGTGTAGAGTAGTATCTGTCCACAGCAGCCAGTGCACTACCTCCAGATGTGGATGCAGATGTTCCATCTCCTGTGCAGATGTTTTTTCACAAATAGGAAATTTAGACCCTGTTTCCCCTTTTCCTAAGATAGACATATGGTCAGGAAATTTTAGAATCACTGTTTGCGTCCAGCAGCAGCTCCACAGCTGAGGTACTTCCCATCTCTAGCATTAACATCTCCTTTAGGTTTTGTTAGTTTGACCCTTTGGTTTTGTTCTTGTTCTTTTTTTATTTTGTTTGATTTTTTTATCTTTTTTTTAGATATTCAGATTAATAAAGTTTCATTGTTTACTTGTTTTAATTTGCATGGTTTCATGTCATGATGTCTACCCCATGTACTATGACTCTAGCATGTTTATCTGCAGACTCCAGCCCCAAGCTGAGCACTCAAGTCATCCTTGAGGCATGGATAGAATACTGCTGGTGTTACAGGAAATGGGTGAATACCACAATTGGCAGGGAATGCAGACTACATCTGTGTGAGCACAGGGCCCTGCATTCCAGACACTCCACAACAGTTAGAGACATGGACGCTGAGGTCAGGCAGACAGGGCATCATGCACAGAGATTTACATTTCTTCTTGAGCTCCTTGTCTTCAAACTGGACAGCAGCCCCCACCTAGGTAGGTGAAGTCAATTTCATTTAATAAAGCCTGTTATTCTTAGCAACCCTTTGTCAAAACTGTGCCCCCCACACTCACTACTATGCATTAGCAGCACAGAATTTTAATGACCAGGGGATGGAGAACTGACTGTTCTTATAGAAGATCCGGGTTCAAATCCCAGTACCCACATAGCAGCTAACAACTATCAGTAACTTGAGTTCCAGGTGATCTGATGCCCTCTTCTGTCTTCCACTGGCACTTAATGACATGGGTGCACTTACATACGTTCAGGGATAACACTCAAACACATGAAATAAAAAGAAAACTAAGTAAAAAGAATTGGAAACACCAGACATACAACTCGGGTAGCATGAACGTGTTTAAACATATGATTTCCAGAAAAGATTGGCAGGATTTTCTACATTTCTGGGGTGGTCAACAAGTGAAATTTTACACATTTATCTGTGCGAATGGCTTGGTTGAAATCTGAAAGTTCACCGTTTCCAGGCAACTCTCCACAGGACAAAGCCAGGGATCACAGTAGGAAATGGATCATTGTAGGCCTCGTCCCAGAGACATGAGATGCTGTCATCCAGTAAGAGGAGTGTGTGAACACAGGGCCCTCTGGGGGTGTGGGCCCTCTCATTTGGGCTCTCTGGTGAATGGAAGGCCTTGCCTCCACCACTGGTCACTCAGACATCTGACTTGGGAACAGGTTATAAAAATCTGGGTGCCCCAGGCACAAGGATGCACGTGGAGCCGTCAGTGTGACAGCGGAAGGGGAACTGCACACGGCATCTAGTCTCAGAGCCAGAGTGCCCAATGGCCGTGGTTCCTGGAGACCCAGAGCTGCTGTAGCCAAGCTGAGGGAAACCCACCCAGGCTGAGGTTGGAACTTGGAGTCTGATAGTGCAGAGGGAATATATTCAACAGTTGTCAGAGTGATGGCAGCAGCACCTTTGCATTCTTAGATAAAGGAAAAGTAAATTACTCACTCATGTGACATATATTACCCATTTGTGATCTAGAGAATTCCAAAAAATATTATTACTGTTAATAAACTAACTCAGCTGGGTAACAAAGAAAATCCCAGCACACAACAGAATGGAGCCGCATCAAACAGCTGCACATGGCGATGCACAACGTGAGGATGAAGTAAGAGCTTGAACTTGAAACAGCGTCAGCAGTAAAATGAACAGATGGGCTCTTTCAAACCAGGGCACTTCTGTCAGTAACAGGACCACTGTGCTCTGCATTCTGCTAAATATTCTCTCCAGAGACATTTAAAGGAATTTAAAAAATACACATAGACATTGGGGAAGACTCATACCATGCAGATTACTACATACTACAACGGATTGCTGAAAAGAAGGAAAATCAGAACAGATGCAAAAGGTACCAGAGACGTTGACTGAGGTACATGATGTTTTTATGTTTGTCATGTTATAGGAATCAATCTATAGATTCCAGGTAGGTACTATGAACAGTAATGGGAACGCTGATGTGAATACTGATGTGGAGTTTTATGAACATTCACAATACAGTCCTGGGATGTGGAGAGGGCTCAGAGTACAGTGGTTCATAGAACCATGTAGACCTGAGTTTGAATCCCCAGAACCCAGATTAAAAAAAAAAAAAAAAAAAAAAGACCAGGCCCTGTCTCATGCATCTATCTCTTAAGCCTAACATAGGCTAGAGACAACTGAGTTCCCAGAATTCATTGGTCAGTCAGTGTTGCTAGTCACTGAGCACTAGGATCAGTGAGATACCCTGTCTCAAAAAAAGTAAGCGTACCCTCCCCGCAAGATACTGGGATCAAGTCAAAAATGGGCAGGAAGACTCTAAGAGTCAGAGACAGTGGATGACTACAGGGAAACTGTGTTCTGGACACAACAGGGAAGTTGCACATATGAACTCACAGCAGTTGTGACAGCACGCACAAGACATTTGAAGCTCAGGCCAGACACAAATCTCAGCGTGGATGGGGAGGTGGGCACAAAGCCCCACCCCTAGCTGAGGCGCTATTGGCAGTTGGTAGCTGCTGGAGAGGGAGAGTCAGTTTTCATTAAGGGTTGACCCTGGTAGATTGAGGGAGATTTAGGGGAACTGAGGCTGAGCAGGGGACAGGGGGCCTTTTTAAAACACAGGGCTGGGTCTTGCTCACAGGAAGCTAGTCCATGGGCTTTTTAGCAACAGTTACTTTTACCAAGTCTGCAAAGACTGCAGGAATTGTTGCAAATTACCAACAGCAATTTCTGTGTGATAGGACTCTGAGGAGGGTTCAGGCTCTTGACACAATGTGGGGTTCCTTTCTTAATGGTTTCATAGAAGTGGGAGGTCCCATGGCATGTATTTGATGAGTACCCCATAGAATATGCTTTCAGTCTGGTTATCACTGATTCTTGGGCAGCAAGGGACGGGGGAAAGGATATGCCTTTCAGTTAATACATATCCATCACACAGAATGTGCCACCTGTAGCCCCTGGAAGCTTATGGTCTTGGTAAACTTCCTGTGGGGAAGTGAGAATCACACTCACAGTTACAGTAACTGCCACCCACTTTTTTGACAGCAGCCGTAAGGGTAGGGCAAGGCTGCTGCAGGTGGGCATGGCCTGAGTAGCCCCCAGCCCAAGCCTAACAGTATCAATGGCCCATATGCTGTGCTAGAGTAAGGAACACTGGGATTCTTGGGCTTTCATTCTGATTTCTCAGACCTAGTAAAGCATGTCCTTCTTACTGTTCATCTTTTTCTACTTATGTGGTCACTTCCCAATGTCAATGTCATGTGTATTTGTTCTTTACAAAAAAAGTCTATTTCCCTTTGAAATCCATTTGAACGTTCATGTTTGCAAGGATCTGTGTCACTATGAAATGTGGCTCTCTCCCGTGCTAGATGTGGTGGTTTGAATGAAAATGTTTCCCATAGGCTCTAGGTATTTGAACACCCTATCCCAAGGTGGTGGTGCTGTTGTGGAGGTTTATGAGGTGTGGCCCTGCTGGAGGAAGTATATTGCTGGGGGTGAGCTTTGAGAGTTCATGCCCTGGTCTCACTTCCAGTCTTCCTGCTTGTGCGTGTTTGAAGATTTGAGTTCTCAGCTTTCTGCTCTGGCTGCCTCCTGCCATGGCTCCCCATGATGGACTCATCCCTCTGGAACCATAAGCCAAAATAAACTCTTGATTCAGTAAGTTGCCTTGGTCATGGTATTTTATCACAGTAACAGAAAAGTAGCTAATATACTTAAGTCCAGGGGCTTTTGTGTGTGCATGGTATGGGTGCATGGTGTGTGTCTGTATATGGGTATGTCGTGTATGCATCCGTATGTATGGTGTCTGCATGTTGTGTACACACACATGTATGTTGTGTGTTGTGTGCATGTGTTGTGTGTACTATGTGTATTGCGTGTATGTGTGTGTGATGTGGTATACTTGTTTGCAGGTCCTTTTTCTATTTGTTTAATCCTTGATTATTCATACACCCACATGATCCAAATGTATTCTCATACCCTCCGGTGTTCCACACAATTTGAGGCAGAATCCTACAAAGCAGGATGGGCTTTTGAGTTCATGGGATGGGACAAAGTGAGACAACACTTTTCTCCTATGGCACCAAATTATGATTACACAGTAGACCACCTATCCTGGGTGCAATACAACTGATCTTACCAATCCAATGATGCTGCTCCTCCTTAGCCACAGTTCTCCTTTTTGCATGATTTCTAAAGGACCGGAGCTGACAGATTGTATCTTGGGGAGTGTGACTGGAATGGAACAAGGAATTGTGTTGGGAACGAACCTGCTGATGGGCCTGAAGTCAAGTAGTTCTAGTATGTTGGAGGGTGTTGGGAAGCATGCTTGTTTCCATGGAGACTGGGCCCTCATACTCAGCAACTGTTGCTTTTGGAGGCAAATGCGGGTCAGGAGAAACAAGAGGGCAAAAAGAAGCATCCACTGTTTCCTTCAGTGACCTTGCACTGGGCCTTGGAGCTTCCCACAGAGCCTTCACCCCATCAGCCCCAGCCCCAGGCCCTGTCCCTTTTGAAATCCTTACAAAAGCATATATCAATTGTTCATCTCCCTGAAAAAAAATGGATTCCTTTTTCTGGAAATGGTTTTAAATTTATTGAAGTATTTTTTGCAATTAAAGATTGGATTTAATTGGGAAGCAGAAATTCCTGTTTGTGTGTATGTATATGTGTGCATGTTCTTATGTGAGTGTGTGTAACTGTGTATGCATGCATGTCTGGTGATGGTACTCAGGTGCCATCTACTCTGTTTTATGAGGCAAGATCTGGGGCTTGACGATTAGGTGAGGGTAGCTGGCCAACATGCTCCAGCAATTTGCTTGTATCTACATCACCAGTGCTGGGATTACAAGGGCATGCCACTGTGCTTTTTGTTTGTGGGTTCTGGGGTTGAACGCAGGTCCTTGTGATTGCATAGCAAGCACTGTACCGAGTTATCTCCCCATGTGCAAGGGACAGTGCACAAGAACAGAACAGTTCACCTCATGGCAGAGAGGATCAGAAAGTGGGCCAGGAAGCAGCCAGGGAAGACAGAA